ATTTGCTTATATACACTTTACTACCTATGTCTGTAAAATATTAACCATAGAGCTGGCATTTGTAGATTTCCATTTGGTCTGAAGGATATTACAAAACTTGGACTGTCCTTGCCAAAAATGAATTTGATATTATTTGTTTATTATGTGTTACCCTGGGCCTTTCTGTCCTGAAAAGGTTGAGCCTTCCAGCACCCAAATAGATAAAAGTTTTGCGTAAATTTCCTTATCAAAGAACAAACAAGGAGTTCAAGGCATCAGACAGAAAAGTCATCAAGTCTAACCCTATAGGCATGCTTTTTTTTTTTTTTTCTTCTGTATTTGTTCAAAAGTAAAGCAGGTTGATATTGTACAGTAACAATTCGCCCAGACAGGAATCCATCCACATGCTTGCTCGTAATTAGAGAATTTTTATTTTAAATCACTTTACAAAGGTGAGGTGGCCCATCTAGGCTTTGGTATAAAAAAATACATATTGGTAAAATATAGCAACGAGCACAAAGACACAGGTAAACAGCACCTCCAATTACAACTGGCTTCTGAATTCTTAAAGAAATAGAAGGTAAAACTGTGGAATGGGTACCAAGAAATTTGAATCTCACAATATATGTAGCTCCAGAGTGGAACAATTTCATGCAGACAACAGTCTGTGTCAGTAAGTTAGAACTGACATGTTCATACCGTATAGGACTGCTTCTCAGTCCAAATTCTGGGACACACACTTTGGGTAACATCCAAGAGGAAGGCTGCTCAAACAGCCAAAGGGCTGATTTGAGCACCTGATTTGTTAGGTCCTGTTCTGTTTTTCTGTGGGTACTGCTATTCACCAGGATCCAGAAAACTGCCAGACTACATGTTCAAACATTTGCAAGAGCTGTCATTTCATAATTTTTTGCCATTTCTCTTTTGCACTGACGTCCTCCTGAGAGCAATCTCTTAATTAAGCACTGGTCTTCTCATTGAAAGTTTTCTATTGATTAGTTGGTAATGTAGATCAGATGCAGGAAGAATTGCAAAGTTTGCACAGAGCCCCTGGACATGGAATAAAATTGAAATTATTTTTCCAGAACATTTGGTGAGAGGCTTAAAAAAAATAACAAGTATAAGGCTGGATCCTTCCTGAGTGCAAAGTGCCATAGTTCCACAGTGGGAAATACTGTGATTTACTTTTAATGACTCTCTCCCTCTGGTGGTTGGATTTCAACCCACACAACTATTCTCAGAGCATTGCTGGAGGTCGTGCTCTGCCTCGCAACTCTTTGCTTCTGGTAGCAAGCAGACACCCGGTATAGCTTAGATGAGATCTTCCTTAGTCCATAAAGTTCCTTTTTCTACTCTACTTTTTCTCAAGTGAGCAATTTTACCACAACTCTACATTATTCCTATTGGCAGTATCATCAATAATTCAGGTTTTTGGAAATTTGACAAAATGTGTTTACAGACTTGCATTTTTAAACATGTCTTAAATAAACCAAATGACATGTCTAAGCATAAAATATTTGCAGGCAATTTTAATTTAGAAAAATGTCAAGGCAATGCGTCTTGTATTTCGGAAAGACCACTCTGTTCTCCATGAATAACCACATAAAACTTAAGAGGAGTTTACAGAATAATATAATACAATTAAATTTGTAATAGCTCCTGCTTTGGCAAAAAAGTTTTGTGTTTTCCCAAGTCTGCTCCCGATATCTTTGTAGGTGAAAAACAGCATTCTTGTTAGTGATTTAAACGAACAAGTCTCTATTTTAGGAATTAAAGGTTATCTGGATAACTCTTACATGAAGGCTAGTTGGGGAAAGCCAGTTTTGCAGAAAAGCACCTCGGGTTTGTCATAATGTTAGAAACAGGGATTATTTTCAGCAGGTTGTAGCAAAATCACAACTTCCTGGAGAATGAGGGGAATTATGATGAACAATCTGGACTTTTCAGACTTGTGCTGCTTTATCCTAACAAAATCCCAGATGTATCAGCATTCTCAGTTTGGAAACTTCTGCACACACTTTTGCATTGATATAAATGGAGAGAGAGATTGCATGGTGAATAAAGGGGCTTAACAATACTTTTTCCAAGATCTCAGGTAAAATGAATGTAAGGACCTAACTCAGCAGTCTGAGAAGTACCTTATGACACAATGAAAGCCACTGTAAAAATGGAATACAACTTCCCTACAAAGATGAGAGTGATTTACCTGTGTCTTGAACCTGTGTCTCCTCTCAAATCTTAACAGAGCATTCAGTGAGACACAGACACACATCTGGGTGTCTTGTTGATAACCATAAAGTGACTGTAAAATGCAGCCGCACTGGAACATTGCATTGCCTAAGCCAAAGTGGTGAAAAATGTGGTAGTGGCAAATCATGCCTTAGAACAGCTCTTGAGATGCTCTCAGGCTGTAACAAAGCAGTCTTCAGAAAATGACAGCTAAGGACTGGGAAAGTATTTTCTGTTACACTAAAATTTAGCAAAAGAGAAAATCTCACTATGTAATGTCACATCTTGAAAGCTATCTGGAATTTTCCCCTGCAGCATTGTGCAGTGTTAGCAAGAACACTACTGGTCCCCTGGAGTTAATATGTAAGTTTGTAATACAGGGTCCATGTTTATTTCCAGATATCTTCTGTTGTCTGTCCTGTACTTCATGCCAACATTTCATATAACTGCTGAGAGATCTGAACTCCAGTGCTGATGTTTGTTTAACAATACTAAATATTATACTGAGCTTCCTGTTACTCAATTCTTCCATATGGTGTTGAACACACTTTCAACAAAGCTGTCCTGGTATTAGAGCAAGGAATGCATCAGTGGCATTCTAAGATGAATGCATTTCACATACATTTATGTCTGAAGTTACAGATGATAACTAGGGTTGTTTCAGATGTGGGGGACCAAAAGGACGGTAATTCCAAGTGAAATTGACCTGGAAAAAAAGGATGCATCCTTTTAAAATATTCCATCATACAATACTGTGTAAAGTGAGAGAGCAGATGATACAAAGCAGTAACTTCATTCTCAGTCTCTCGCTGGAGAAGTCCTTTCAGGGATACCTGTTTAACCAAATCCTGTTTGCTTATGGACAGGCTTCATTTTGTGCTGTGTCCCTGTTTATGCGGGATACAACATCACTAGTGAGGGTGAAGAGATGCCATGGTAGAGCCATAGCTCCTATGGAATTTCTGAGCCATGACTTCTACAATAACAGAAAAAACCCACCCATTCACCTCTGTGTTCAGGTGGTTTGTGCTTGAAGGAGATTGCAGGGGGGTGGGAAGCATTCAGAAGTTGAAGGGAAAGCTATTCACATTTCACTGGGATTAATGTCCCTACCAGAAGTTACATATATGTGGATCAAAATGTACTAAAATTGCATGAGCCTTTTGAGTAACAAATCTCATATATCACTGTAAAAACAACTGCCAGAGCACTTCGGGAAAGTAAGTCCTTTTCAAAGTGATCTTGCAAAAAACAAAGACTATTAGTAACCCCCTAATGTTGTGGCCCTCAATTTTATTTACTGCTGTTTCCTCTTTGTGATTAAAGACCAAAAGTTTTGGTTTTGTGAATGAACCATGAGATATACACCAAACCTTGAGAAGTTCATGTGTCAGCATCACAACTACTGCTAGTAACCACAGTTCTGTTTTGAAGGTGGCTTTGTTCTTTGGTTTGCTTTGCCTTTTTACATATCCAGCAATAACACGAAGGAGGGCAGCCAGCTAGCAACTTTTTTCTTCCTCAAAATGAATAGCTTTCTGACAAAGTGTATGGAACCAGCAAAAAGAATGATATTTCCCTTCTCATCTGTCTGCAGGTGGGGGTCAAATAATGCTGAAAAAGGTGTTGCCATCTCCTGTTTCCAGTCCTGTGCCTACGATATGTGGCATAGCTGTTATTTTTTCCATTGGACAGTAGCTCATATTTTAAATAACTGTAATTATATGTGTACTTCTAACTTGGTGTCTGTAGTTCTGGACATATGGTCAGCTAGCAGACTCTTCCTGCTCTGGTGCATTGTGTTTGCTATTCTTATCGCTGATGTTTGGCTCCCATGCAAAACAAGCCAAACATCTCAAACAGATATGCCTTTTATTTGAACAGAGATGGACTCATAGATATAAAATGAGCAAGAAGGCCCATCTGATGAGCAAACATAAACATGGAAAGGGTTTGACTACTGTAGCAGAATAGGCAGAGACCTGCTAAGATGTCTCTAACAGCATTCCATAACAGGGCATATCTTCTGGTCACATCCTCAGTTCTGATGTTAAGCCATTCATCTTGGGCGATCAGCCACTCATCTGCAGTTTTACAGAGTTTTCTCTCATTAAAATAAACATTTTAAAATCAGCCAGAATGACTATTTGTAGTCTCACCACACCTAAATAATTAAAACACCTAATTCCAATGAGCTTAATTTGTAATTTACTGTCTTATTCCTGTAGTCTTCTGCTGGATCAGATTCAAGACCACAAATCTGCTCCTTCAACACCTAAAACAGATTTGCAAACCTGAACGTCCTGCCAAAATCCAGAACACAGACAAGAGCAGCCAGAACATACAGTATTCCATGCTTACTCCAAAGTGAGGAGAAAGACCTCAGACAGGATAACAAGCAGACCTCATGGTCCACTCTATGCTCTCTATCATCAAGGCCATCTGGAAAGAGGATATTTCTTAATTACGCTGAAAAGCATACTGAAAATAAATGGTTTTCATATGTGTATGAAAATGTTTTCTACGGGTATTTTTATGTATGTCACAGATTGCAAAGTTAAGTTTGAATTTCATAACCTGATTGCATAATTTGACAGTATAACTTCCAAAGTCCATCTCAAGACACACACACAGACAGATGAATGAACCTGCTTTTTTAAGTCATTCCCTTCTTTTTGTCTAGGTAGTCCCCTAATAACCTGTTAACAAGGCATTTACCATGGCAGGAACTGGAAAAAGGTTCTTGCACACCATACAAGCCCTAAAGGCTTTGG